GAAAAATCTTTAGAAGAATATTTTAACTTTAACAAATCCGATGAAGTCCCGTTGCCAGTGATTTGGGATGCAAAAAAAGCTTTTATAAGGGGGAAATTCATCGCAGTCACAGCAGCCTATAACAAACAAAAAAATGAAATAAGGCAAACGACACTAAATAATATTAAGCTTTATGAAGACAAACATAAAAAAACTGGCTCAAAACGCATTTATAAGCTCCTCCTCTTTGAACGTAAAAAGTTAGAATCACTCGAAACTTCGCAGGTGCAAAAACAATTATTATACTTAAAACACAAATATTGGTTTAAACACCCTCGTTCCTTAAAACTTTTAGCTTCAAAAATTAAACAACAACAGTTATTTCGAAACATAAATTCACTAAAGGACTCCCAAGGAAAAATAGTTAATTCCACTAAGGATATCCTTAATATCTTTCAATGTTATTATCAACAATTATATAGCTCCGATAACCCTTCTCCTACTCTTATTACTAAATTTTTAGAAACCAAAGACGTTATTAAAAAATTATCTCTTTGCCATAGTAAAAAGATGGAAGCCCCATTCACTCATCAGGAGTTATTATCTGCCATTAAACATACAAAGTCTAACAAAGCACCAGGAAGAGACGGCCTTCCAATTGAATATTATAAAAAATTCACCTCATCACTCGCAGCCCCCCTGTTAGAAATTTGTAACCATGTCCAACAAACTGGCAATATACCAGAATCCTGGACAGAGGCTAAGATAGTAGTTATTCCCAAAAAAGGGAAAGATGCCCAGATCCCTCAATCTTACCGACCTATTTCACTCCTTAATAGTGACTACAAAATTTTCACATCTATGTTAACATCCCGCCTCAATAATTTTATCGGCCACTATATCCATACGAATCAATCTGGCTTTATCCCCCAAAGAGAGCTTACCGACAACATCAGAAAAACACTTGGTTTACTTTTCTATGCTAAACGATACTTGTCAGACGTTTGTTTTTTAGCTTTGGATATAGAAAAAGCGTTTGATAAGGTAGAACCCTTATTTTTATCTAAAGTAATTAGTGCAATGGGCTTTGGCCCCAATTTTCAAAAAATTATTCACGCTTTATACATACAACCTAAAGCACATGTTGTTATTAATAATTCTTTTTCAGAAAATTTTATTTTAACTCGAGGCACCCGCCAGGGGTGCCCACTCTCACCCTTATTATTTGCAATCGCTATAGAGCCTTTGGCTAATAAGATAAGAAACTCTAATATTATACCAGGCATAAATATATCCCATCAATCTCATAAAATCAGTTTATTTGCCGATGATTTTGTATTATATGTTAGTCAACCCCATCTTGTTTTACCAACGATAGAAACCTACTTACTTGAGTTTGCATCTATCTCCGGACTTCACGTTAATCAAGGTAAAACCATTTTATACCCGGTAAATTTATCCCAACCTGTGAAGAAATTCATTCAAGATAATTTTCATTACCAATGGGTCTCACAATATTGGCCATATTTAGGAGTCAAAATTCCCTTAAATTTAGATACGTTATTTAAACTTAACTATACTGAATTATCTAACAATACCAACAACATTTTATCGCAATGGCAGGAAAAGAATCTTTCCTGGATGGAAAAAATTTTAATACTTAAAACATTTATATTTCCCAAATTTCTTTATCTTTTTAGAGCCCTTCCCCTCCTGATACCTCCATCGCAATTTACCCTTTGGCAAACACAATGGACTAAATACATTTGGAATCATAGACACCCTCGGGTTAAATTCACTACTTTATGCCGTTTTTCATCTTTAGGTGGGTTAGCCCTACCTAATTTAAAATCTTATTATGAAGCAACGATTCTTAAAACAGTGTTAAAAATTTTAAAAGCAGAACCCCAACCGGAATGGGTAGGAATTGAAGAATTCTTTTTGAATCAATCTTTGTACAAACCGACTCTTTGGCAAAAAACTACCGAGAAAACATATAGTATTCAACAACATCCTTTTATGCTTTCTCTTTTTAAAATTTGGAACATAAGGCGACGCTCCCTTCTACCTGAATTATCGCTCATGTCTTCATTCCATGGTCAAACCTGGTTTCCTCCGGCATTCTCTCAAAACACCTTTTTAAAATGGAAAACAGCAAAATTAACCACACTTTATGATCTTACATGTAAACAACATCTCTTAGAAAAATCCAAACTAGACATCAAAGCCCAAACATCTTTACCATGGCTGGAATATTTACAAATCCGACATCTTTTCGCTACGCCAAAATTACAAAAAGCATGCGAGACCCCATATACAGACTTTGAGAAGCTCTTGATAGCCACTGATGGTTCTTCAAAAAGTATAATCTCTTCTATTTATAAAATTCTGTTGGATCCAAAACCTCATAAACTTCCCACATATACAAACTCATGGTCAAAGGACCTTGGCGCAAAGTTAGATGAAACCTTTTGGGAATCCGTATGGTCCTCATACGCGTTTAAAACAAAATCAATTAATGTGTTCCAACAGAATTACAAGATTCTCACGAGGTGGTACATTACCCCTCTAAAACTGCACACAATTGACCCATCATATTCCCCCCTATGTTGGAGGGGTTGCGGAAAGGTCGGCTCTTATATCCACTGTTGGTGGGAATGTCCGGCGGTAAAATCCTATTGGCAAAAGGTACTATCCGAAATTGAGAATCTTACAGGTTATAAAATTCCCATGAAGCCTGAGATTTTGATTTTAAATAATTGGAATGAGTTACATATCCCCCAATATAGTAAGGAACTTCTTACGATGTTATCGTCAGCTGCTAAAACCACAATTGCCCAACAATGGAAAGACACAAATGCACTGAGTTTACGTTCTTGGTTTTCCAATATTTGGAACCATTTATTGATGGACAGAATCTCAGACAAATTATCCTGTTACGAATCCTCTAAACAAACAGATTCTTTTTACGGTAGATGGCACTCAATTTTAGATCACTTGGAATATATATTAGGACAACTTCCGAACTCACAACAATCGCAATACTTTTCTTTCATTCGTAAGCATTGGATACTGTAAAAGTACCTATTAATTTTTATTTAAACTTTGAATTTATAAGAGAGTTATTTATCTTGTTATTAGGTAGAAAGTATGACTTTGGGATCATCATTATTTATTGTTTCGTTTGTTATTGTTGTAACGCAATCTGTTATTGTTGTTAAGTCGTTATTATAATGTTGATTGTGATTATTTTTGAAAACAATAAAATATTTAAAAAAAAAAAAAAAAAAAAAAGGAGCTCAATGAAGCTTCTGAAGAAAGGAGTTCTATAGAGTAGGGTTAAGAAATTGCTGTAAAACCCTATAGTGACTATAACCCACTATAACCTACTATAGTGACTATAACCTACTATAGAGTAGGGTTAAGAAATTGCTGTAAAACATTTGGAGAAGGCTGTGAGCGTATGGCCAAGGATGGTGGTGGTGGTGGTAGCAATCTGCCCTGGAGGCTCACAAGGGCTGAGAGGTCCGACATATTGGTGATGTTGCCTTAAAATTAGGGATAATGAAGGTTGTGTCCATCCAATTTTTCACTTTTGATCATTGGCTACAAAGTCAAACAGGAAGCCAGTTTGTCAGTCTGCCGAATCAGCATTGACAGCTATGAATGAATTTGCTGTAGTTAAATATTACATAGTCAACTATATGATATATTGATTATGACTGCAGTCCATATATTTAAATATGCTGCTACATCCAGTGGGTCAGCCGTGTTGGTCTGAAGTTGCCAAAAAAAACCTTTGCATGGGCCCCAGTTAAATTCACCTATGCAGGTTCCTATAATAGCTTTTTAGGTAATCTCTGAGCAAGGGCAGGAACAGAAGCAGAAGCAGTCCTTCATGTATGTTGGACCAAAGCTATCAAAGGCTTTAAAGGTCAAAACAAGCACTTTGACTTGGACCCAGAAGCCTACTAGAAGACTATGTCGTTGGTGTGATAATGGCTTGATGTGTTCATTTTGACAAACCCTGGTTAGAATTCAGGCTGCCATTTTCTGAACCAGTTGATGTTGCTGGACTGTGTTCAAAGGCAACCCTATGCAAATTGCATTATAGTAATCAAATCTGGATTTTGCCAAGGCACGTGGGGACAGAGGCCAAGTCCACTTCCTCCAGGAGCAGTCACAATTAGGCATCCCTGCCCTTGTTTTTCCAGGGACATAAACCAATCCAGACTCAAGCCCAGAGTTTTGAAACCTGCTTTTTGAGAGGGATTGCAGTCCCATACAAAACAGGTTGTATGCCTATCGCCTTGTCAGCTTCATACCTAATCAACTGCACTTTTGTATACATTATTCTTTCATATTATCATTTTATGTGGTACCTTGTATAGTTCTTGTACTATCTGTGTTCTTAGTCCCTTTGAATCGGTGTAATTAATTATGAATATATGCAAAGCAGATGTCCTACTGAATGAGGATGTTTTCAATACATTCCATATAAAGAACCAACAGGCTATGAACTGTCACTGTAAGACAAAACCTGATAAGTGGATAATGACCAAATTTGACTTTGTTTCTTGAGTAACCTGTATCTTACTAATGTTGTTTAAGTTTTATTTATTCTACTATGCATTTATCGCATCCTTTCTCCAAGGAGCACAATGTTTTGTATTTCCACCCACTACCCCCATGTTATCCTTATAAATGTGTAGCAAGGTAAGCGAGACTGAGAGAGGGGGGGGATGTGTGTGGCTGGCCCCGGGGTCAGTTGTCAGCTTCTGGGCTGAGTGGGCGTTTGCACTTGGACTGCCTCCAAAGTTCTAGCCATTGCACTATACTCAACTTTTGTTTAAGCTTAAGGGAAGGCTTAGGTTTAAAAGGTATTTTGGTTTTCTGCATATCACCAGTCTGTTCTGCTGCCAGTAGGCTTAGCTTTATTGTATGGCAGAGACAAACAAGTCACGATATTGGTAACATGCTATAATATATAAATGTTAAAACTGCTTTTAAAATTCTCCTAGGAGCTGTCCAAGATTACTATGCCAGTCATTTTTAATGAGCCACTGAGTTTCCTTCAGCGACTGACAGAATATATGGAGCATACATATTTAATTCACAAAGCCAGCTCTCTTTCTGATCCAGTAGAACGAATGCAGGTAATCTATGCTAAAGAAGTGTATGTGATAACCTAGGAGCATAAAACTTTATCGTATGTAGACAAGTGGGGAGCTGCTTATTTATGTAGCTTCTAGGATACTCTTGTGAATCCCAGCCAAAATGTTTTGCTGAAAATAAAATTAACTTCTGTTATCATGGTAAGAAATATTGAATATCTGACATTCTGGATAACCTTTAAGTAGTAGTGAATGTAGCACTTTTCTCCCTTGTTGATGGTTATACATGCTGCACTATTCAAATGTATACCTGCTCCATGCATGTGTAATGCTTCAGAAGACATAGGATAAATATTAAACTTTTCTATTTTAAGCTAATAAAAATATGCATGTAAATCACTTTCTCAACAGTGTGTAGCTGCCTTTGCTGTCTCTGCTGTTGCATCTCAGTGGGAACGTACTGGAAAGCCGTTCAACCCATTACTCGGAGAGACGTACGAACTGGTTAGGTAATAAACCTGTAGTGCACTTAACTGACTTGATTGAGTGACCTATACAAATATTCCTGGTTAGACATATACCAGCTAGGAAAAACTAACTATAATTTATTGTATAATAGGTATTTTAGTTGCAAGTTAATGGAACTAGAGTTAAATTGTTGATTTGGCATTGATCTTATTATTTGTTTGATACAATTCAACCAGCTCTGTAAGCATACTGTTATCCCCAATATTTGTAAGCGTACTGTTATCCCCAATATTGCTAGCTGTACATCCTCTTGAATATTTATGCAGTAATTGAGATTTGTTCAAGAAAATTATTCCTGTATTGTACAAAACCAATATGGCATATTATCTCTTTATCCTTTTTAATCACTGCAGCATTTCTTTTCTCTGTTTAGAGAAGATCTTGGATTCAGACTCATCTCGGAACAAGTTAGTCATCACCCACCCGTCAGTGCTTTTTACGCTGAAGGACTGAGTAATGACTTTGTGTTTCATGGTTCCATTTATCCTAAACTCAAATTCTGGGGGAAGAGTGTTGAAGCAGAGCCCAAGGGGATAATAACTCTGAAACTTCTTGAGTAAGTTGGTCAGGCACTTTAATATATTTTGGCTGTTCTAGTATATTTTGACTATGTATTAGTGGTATGTGTCTATGCATGGCTGTATAAAGTAACCATAATAAAGACTAGTTGACTTCTTCACCCAGCCCCATCAAAAGTATCACCATTCTGTCTACAGAAGATTGCATTAGAGTTGCTGTGTTAAGTACTACATAAAAATCAACATTTCTTTTTGTTTCTCTTTGGTCTACGTGGCTGGAGCATTCTGTGCTCCTTGATTTATTGCCAGTGGCAGAGAATAAATCAACATCTGGAATCTTTATGTCTTTCCCAAAAGCAGCATTCTTTCTATTACAGTAATTTGTAAATGGTTTTCTAAATTTGCAAATTGAAACATCTGGTATTCATAGTTTTCTACTTTGCCTCCAGACACAATGAAGCATATACATGGACAAATCCTACTTGCTGTGTGCATAACATCATTGTTGGCAAGCTGTGGATTGAGCAATATGGCAATATGGAAATAACCAATCACAAGTAAGTTCCTTCTTCTTTCTGTCTATAGCATACATACTAAGTGGGTACGCTGATGTAACAAGTAAAATGTGCCTTTGGAAGGATTCGGCATCTGCAGGAGACATCAATGGTGCTAATTTGTGATTATGCCATGCAAAATGTGGCTGGAAAGTGGAGACAGCTGTGTTGTCTGGTTTTCTTATCTAGGACCTTAACTTTGCGAAGACCTGACCCCCTCTGCTTCTTTGACCATTACTCTGTTTATCTTGGCCTGAGTTCTCTAGCTCTTTTTAAAAGATCCTCCTTGGTAGGAAATCTCAAAAAACAGCACTCTGTTTTTTGTTCCTATTGCAAGGGGAAAGCACTCTAGGAAGTGGTTCTCAGGTTACTATGAAATATTGTTTGTACTATAATGAGAACAATTAGTGTTAATTTAAGAAGAAGAAGAACAAGAAGAGATTGGATTTATACCCCGCCCTTCACTACCCAGAGGAGTCTCAGAGCGACTTACAAACTCCTTTCCCTTCCCCTCCCCACAACATACACCCTGTGAGGTGGGTGGGGCTGAGAGAACTCTTGGCACAAACTGCTCTTTTTCAAGGACAGCTGTGCCAGAGCTTGTGACTGACCCAAGGTCACATCAGCAGGTGCAAGTGGAGGAGTGGGGAATCAAACCTGGTTCTCCCAGATTAGAGTCCACGCACTTAACCACTACACCAAACTGGCTCTCTGGTATGTTGGACAGAAACTAACAGCTTTAATGAAACTCTGATTATTGTGTTTTCCCTCTGCAAGTATATAATATTTGCTACATTATTTTCTGCCTGATAAAGATGGTAATCCCTTGGTTGTTCCTTGAGTGTTGGACAGTGGCATACAGAAATTTACATAATTTAAGTTTCAGGACTGATACTTTTGATGGGGCTTCTTCTGACATAATTACGTTTGCACAGAATGTCTATGACAAAGGGGTGGGGAACCTAGATGCTCTTGATCTGCCTGAAAAACAGTAGAGAAATGAAGGATTTCATTCCTGTAAGTTAAACTGCTCCTATCTTCTCCGGGTGGAGACTTAATGCTATCAGTCAAAGGTGATGGCTTCTAGCAACAGAGGCAGAACATTTGGGATGGGGATGGGGTGTAGAGGAGACCATCTGGCAGAACAGCAGCTATTTGCATTCCTGTTAGATGATCCTTTGAACCTCCATGTAGTTCTTTGAACAAGCTGGGGCAAATGGGATGCATTCAAAATAGTTGCCAGCCTTGCCAGTGCTGATAGCAGACAGGATTGTCACAGGAGGTGAAGTCCTCTGGGCAACCAAAAATTGACAGTTGACGTCCTGTCCCCAAGAATGCAGAGGCATTGCATCTATTTTGCTGAATGCTGAAGAGGTTAGAGCTTGATCCCCACAACGGAGCCAAATATTGGAAGAAAAACTTGCACTGCAAGAGATTTAAGCTGAAACATAATGCTTCTTCCACAGGACTGGTGACAAGTGCATGTTAAATTTCAAACCATGTGGCCTTTTTGGGAAGGAATTGCACAAAGTTGAAGGCTACATTCAGGACAAAAGGTAAAAGCTCCTTTCTGCTGTTTCTGACATGTATGTATACAAGGGAAGAAGCGGGACTTTGGGGTTGGGGCTGTGGCTCAGTGACAGAGGGCATGCTTTGCACGCAGAAGGACCCAGGTTCAATCGCTGGCACTGAGAGCAGTTACCAGTGTAGACAGTGCCGACTTGGATAGATACAAGGCAGCTTGATGCGTGCTGAACTTCCAAGTGTTGTTTTTCAACACATTTAAATTCTGTGTGAAACTGAATGCTAGAATAAGCTAATTTCCCCCCCTAAAATTTGTTTTCTAACAGCAAAAAGAAACTATGTGCACTTTATGGGAAATGGACTGATTGCTTGTACAGTGTTGACCCTGCTACATTTGAAGCGTACAAAAAAAATGACAAGAAAAACACAGAAGATAAGAAAAACAATAAACAGGTATTGTGGTAAAAGACAGTAGAGCTAGAGAGGTAATCACTGTTCACTTGTAGCGTTCAATTTTGTGGCTGTCTTTTTTCTTCTACTGTTTTATTTACTCTAGCCAATGTATTGAAGTCTGAGTGATAGGAACAAGAGAGTGTAGAATGGTTTTCTCGCACAAAAGCATGGATGTCAAATAATTACTTGGCACTGTGGAGGTTCGTAAAAGTATAAAATATCTGGAAAATTTGGAGTTGCAGAGCTGGATTTGAGGATTCCCTTTGAGTGCCAGGAGTCTGCCTCTGGCCCTTGAAAAAGAGAATGTCGGTGCAAAAAACAATGCTACTGTGTGATTGGCCTAGCGACCATATGGGAGACAAGTCCACAGGGTCTGAAGCAGGGGTTCTCAGGTCACAGTCCAAAGTCTCACAGTCCAGGGTCTGATAACAAAGTTCAAAGATAGAAGGCAGTCCAAGGTCTCAGTCTAGGGTCAGGGCACATGTTCCAGTGGCAGAATCCAAAAGCAGTCCAAGGAGTATGTAACAAGAATGGATACAAAGCAGGTAAGGCAACTGGTGGGGTAGTCAGCAAAACTGCAGACAAGTTGATCCCACACTGGCTGCAGCTATAGGGTGTTTCCCTATAATTCCCCATGTTAGGCTCTTCTCCGCAAGCTGACTCAACTCTTCTACTTATGAGGAGTACTGGGACCCAGATCCTGTGGTGACTTAGCAGTCTCTCCTAGCATTTCTTTAGCAGAGGGGAGGCCTCAGGGCTGCCAGGCATTCCTGTGCCTGGTCCATGCCTCAACCTTAGCCCTTTGACTCATCTGCTCCCGGGGTGCTTTGGGAGACCTCGGCAGGTCTGGTTCATGGGCAGGTCCATGCTGGGTCCTCCAGGCCTGAGGGACCTGCTGGCTCAGGGAGCAGTGCCTTTTATGTGTATTTAGAAAGTGCATATGCTTGCCCATCCAGAAACACAACTATTAAAAAACAAGCCAATGCCATTAAAATAATCCAGAGCATGAAAACAGCATAAAATACCCTGAGTGGCATAGAAAGATGTAGATAAAACAGACAGAAACAGACCATAAAAACTTTAAAAGATAAAATATGTTTGTTAAAAGCCTGAGTAAAAAAGGAATGTTGTAGCCTGGCACCCTGCAAACAGGCAGGATCAGCAATCACCCCAACACCTGCTTTCTCTGTTGTGGCCCCCACCTTGTGGAATGGCCTGCCGGGGAGGGGTCAGGAAGGCTCCCAGGCTCCTATCATTCTGTAAATTATGTAAAACAAGGGGTGGACCCGTGATACTCGCGGGGGAGGGGAGGGTGCTCCACACCGAGGAGGAAGAGGAGGAAGCAGCAGGAGGAGGTAAGTACCCCCTCCCGCCGGTTCCCCCCCTCTCCTCCCCCCCTCCCCTCGTTCCCCCCTTGCCTCTCCCCCCCGCCCTCGCTG